ATGATGAAGGGTAAGGCTGCTGTGTCTCAAGAAGATACTGTGCGTGTGTGTGGTTCAGTTTCAGCTTATGCTGAGCTGGTTAATGAATACCGTGATTTAGGCATTATGAGTGCAAATCGGATGGGTTTAGTTACTAAGGTTGAACATTGCATCGAGACATTTGGTGCGCCGTCATTTGCTCGTCCCCGACGTTTAGTTGGAGCCAAACTTGAAGAAGCCAAGAAGGAATTCCAATTTTTAGTCCAGACAGGGATTTGTCAACCTTCGAAAAGCTGTTGGGCAAGTCCACTTCACATGGTTCGCAAAGGCGATGGAAGTTGGAGACCGTGTGGCGATTATCGCATGCTCAATGCGCAAACTAAACCTGATCGGTATCCGATTCCGTTCATTCATGATGTGACGAGTATTCTTCATGGTAAAACTATGTTTTCGAAGATAGATTTGCAGAAAGCGTATCATCAGATACCGCTTGCACTGGCAGACATTCCGAAGACAGCTATTACAACTCCGTTTGGCCTGTTCGAGTTTCGCTTTATGACTTTCGGTCTCCGTAATGCTGCCCAGACGTTTCAGCGTTTTATGAATGAGACTCTAGGTGATCTTAATTTCGTTTTTGCGTACATCGACGATATTTTAATTGCGTCAAAAGATGAAGCAGAACACAGAATGCATTTGCGACTGGTTTTAGATCGACTTAGAGAAACTGGTTTGACCGTGAATTTTGCCAAGTGTAAGTTCGGCTGTTCCGAGATCGAGTTCCTTGGGCACGTTATTAGTGCAAAGGGTTTACGTCCTCCGGAGAGTAAAGTTCAAGCTGTTCGTGATTTTCCTCTGCCAGCAACGGTTAAACAGCTTAGACAATTCTTAGGCATGGTGAACTTTTATCGGCCGTTTCTGCGTAACGCTGTGCAGAATCAGCAGCGGTTGTTTCATCTTACACCAGGTAACCGCAAGAATGATAAGTCGGTGATTTCTTGGACTCCAGAAGATGTAGAGGTTTTTGAGGCTTGCAAGAATGATCTTGCCCAAGCTACGTTGCTTAACTTCATGGCTCTGGATGCACAATTGACGCTCACGACTGATGCTTCAGACGTTGCGGTGGGTGCTGTTCTCCAACAAGTAGTGAAAGGTGTGACTCAGCCATTGGCATTTTATTCAAAAGGTTTGAGTCCAGCGCAGACTAAGTATAGTGCTTATGATCGTGAGTTGACTGCTATCTATCAAGCTGTCCAGCATTTTAAGTATGCATTAGAGGGACGTGATTTCGTCATTTTTACGGATCACAAACCATTAACGTTTGCGTTCAGGCAAATAAGTGAGAAGGCATCTCCTCGTCGTGCAAGACAGCTGGAGTTTATTAGTCAGTATTGCACTGATATTCGTCATCTGGCTGGTGCAGATAATACGGTGGCTGACTCTTTGTCTCGGGTTGCTACGGTTCAGTTGGAGGCAAATGTTATTGAGTTAATTGCTGAGGGGCAGAAGACTGATGCAGAGTTGCTCGCTCAGCTGAAGAGCCAGTCTGAAGATGGGGTTGGGTTGAAGAAGTTGAGATTGCCGGATTCGAGTATTGAACTGTACTGTGATGTGTCAGGCAGTCGTGTTCGTCCTTTTGTTCCCGCAAACTGTCGGCAGCTGGTACTCTCAAAACTCCACGGTTTGGCTCATCCTGGTATTCGAGCAACGCGGAAATTGGTGCAGGCTAGGTATGTTTGGCTTGGTTTGGTTAAGGATGTAGCTGTGTTTGTGCGTAGTTGCATTGCGTGTCAGAAGTCCAAGATTCAGCGGCATACTAAAACACCAATTGGTTCGTTTGCTGATATTGATAGTCGGTTCCAGCATGTTCATGTTGACATTGTGGGTCCATTGCCTTTGTCTCAGGGGAAGCGTTATTGTTTGACTTGCGTCGATCGTTTTTCTCGGTGGCCTGTTGCTGTGCCTCTGTCGGGCATTACGGCAGAAGAAGTTGCAGCGGCTTTTATCGACGGTTGGGTGGCAAGTTTTGGTTCTCCGCAGGCTATTACCACTGATTTGGGTCGGCAGTTTGAGTCTGCTGTATTTCGGGAACTGACTAGATTGCTTGGAGTGAAACACTTTCATACCACGGCTTATCATCCTCAAGCAAATGGTATGGTTGAACGTTTCCATAGAACATTGAAGGCAGCCATTCGATGTCATTCCTCAAGTAATTGGACGCAGTCTCTTCCGCTTGTGTTGTTGGGATTGCGAACGACACCGAAATTAGACCTAAATGCTAGTCCTTCAGAGATGTTGTTTGGAAATCCTCTTTGTGTTCCAGGGCAGATGCTTTCGGATTTCAAGCAGAAGTCGTCCGAGACTGATTTTGTGTCGGCGTTGCGAAGGGCTTTAGCTAAGGTTAAATCCGTTGAATCAACAAGACATTGTCATCCATCTGTGTATGTTCCGCGTGACGTTATTAATTGTAAGCACGTTTTTCTTCGAGTGGATCGTGCTCGAGCTCCACTTGAGCAGCCTTACGAAGGTCCATTTGAGGTGCTGAGTCGTAATGAGAAGACGTCTGTTATTGTTTGCCGTGGGAGAGAGGTGACTGTTTCGAATGATAGGTTGAAGGCGGCGTACTTAACGTGTGATGATCTTGAACAGGTTGTTCCAGAAACGCGTCAGCCTTCAGCGCTGTTGAATGGTGATCAGTTAGTGACTTCTGGTGATTGTAGGCGTGAATCCCTGTTGCCGATTCCGAAAGTGACACGAGCTGGTAGAGTAGTGCGTTTCCCAGCAAGGTTAGCGGAATTTCGTGATTAAGAGTGGTGTTGTCGACTTAGTGTGGTGTCGCGTTGTTGCTAGTACTCCATCGCTAGGAGGGGGTACTGTGGTGACCCAGTTGGCTGTGCATTTATTGAATTTAAAAAGTAAAATTCAATTTCAAATATTTTTAAGTTTTTGTTTTTGATTGATGAGAACGTTTCGATTTTTCTCTCTGTAAAAAGTTGAATAAAAGTTTATTAACATTGAAAATTTTTAGAGTTTTATTAATTAGCAAGGTGAACAGATCATTGCTAAATCATCATCATTATTCGGGACTATACAGTCTATGTAGGACCTAAGCCTATTTAACAACATCCTTCCATTCTTCACTGTTTTTTGCTTTGTTTTACAAATTCTAATGTTTATTTCTTCTAAATTTCATCGTTTTCTTGGTCACCCTTCCAATAATATCATTAACATTACGTTAAAAGTAAATAACTTATCTACCAGTATTGATTATCATAATATGCGTTCAGAGTCCTTATGAATCAAGTTTATATATAATTCATATTTTTTATTTATGTTGAAGCTATTTGAGCCAGTACACTTGATCACTTTTATTCTTTCTTAACTCGAGGTATTTTCAAAACCCTTCTTTACGCCTTGAATGAATTATTGTTTATCAATTCATTAGACTAAGCAACTATTGACCTCACATCTGTATACCTCCCCGAGGAGCCTGTAACCATTCTGAGATTTGATTATTTATATATGATTTTAAATCTATAAAATTGTGTAATAAATATATATATTCAAATATATCAAATATTGAAAAAGTCTTTTTTAAAAAAGTTTTAAACCTACTTTTACCAAGATATACTTAAAACATTTTATTTCATTAAATATATAGGATCTCAAGTGACAATTTTGAAATATGAATTATTAAAAATTTATACGCTATGTCGATTTAGGTCCAAAATTTAGAGTTCTCATTTAAACAAAATAAAGTATTTAACTAAATTTTTCATAAAAAAAATCCATAAATGAAACCTATGTTATAATTGTTTTATTATTTATTTAAGTTAATAAATCAAAAATTTAATTAAAAATATAAAAAATTAAAAAGCCAAAAAAAGTTAATAAATCAAAATTTTAATTAAAAATATAAAAAATTGAAAAGTCAAAATTTCTCATATCGGCGAATACTTTTTCTCACTCGCTCGAAGGCACCTCACCCGGCTACAAAAGCTTGCACTAGACCTCTCCAACCTCGCAGGCGTCACACAAGCCTTGTGCCATAAACCTTCTCATTATCTCTCCCTTTATATCGATGAATGGAACTCTAATCTCTCCATCATCCCTCTCTTTAACCGCGGCTTTCGTAGCCCTAATCACAAAGTCTTACCCTCACATTTCCGCTCTAAGTCGAACAGCTTCACGAATTTCAAGTCTACCTTATTCATGCCTTATTCATGCTTTCTGACTTTAGATTAATCTAAAACAATAGGTTTTAAGCCTCTGGCTCTCATCTTTCTCCCTTGATTACTGGAATGAAGTTTCCACATTGCTGTGAAAATGTTCTTCATTCTTTCTTAAGAGATGATTTTAGTAGGTTCAAGTCTCACACTGTGGCTTTCGATGCTTTCCACAAAAAAAAACATAAATTACCAAAATATTAGTCAGATTATTAATTTATTTAATTTAATTTAATTTTATTTTTTTTTTTTGATATGTTTAAATTGTGAGAATTTGTTGATATTATTTTAGAGATAATATTATTGTATAAAATTTTTTTATTAAATTTTTTTTCAACCTGATAGAACAAAGAGGATGACGTATCGCTGTCCTGATAGTGACTCTCAAGAAGAGTCGAAATATAGAGTACAATAAAAATATATTCAACATTTAATTATTTAACAAGAACGGACCTACAGCCAGATTAAAAATATATAAAGAATCCATGATAATAAAATTGTATAAACTAATCTAAAATACACTATAAAAAAAAGTACTAAATTAATTAATAAAATATTTATAAAAATCTTTAAATAAAAGTATTTTTACACACATAATTCCAGTCTGAAAACCGATATATAAAAATAGTCATTTAGCTCATATTGCTAAATCGCATTTATTTTATAATTATAAGCGGCTATTATTTTGGTGATTTATTTATTAAGTGTTTATATTGTTTAAACTATTTACTGAGGAAGAAATATACAGTGCACCAACCACCAATAAAATTTTATTTTTGTGCAGTAATTGGTTATTGTTTAAAGTAGAAGAAAAATTTTGATAAGTGGTACAAAATACATATTTCTAGATACGGTTAACTCTGTTATCATATTAACTATATGTATATGCATACAATTATATGATTATTTTATAAATGCTCTGCTATAAAAATATTAAATTGTGTATTTATTACAAAATTTTATCTTAAATGTTTACCAATATATGTTGTTAAATATATACTTATGTGTATACTTCAAATACGTTATTATGTTTTTAAAAAACTGCCAATTATGTATATATATTTTTTAGAATTAATAATAAATTATTTTTAAAATATTTTTTACAAAATATATTCTTCAAATTATGACATTTATCCATAATTTATATATCAAAATTTTTAATTATTAATAATATATGGTATATAAATATTTTTAAATATATTCTAGACTATTGCTGCTTCAAAATTAATTCTTAAATAGAATAATATCTATATATGTTATGTATTAAAATTGTTTAGTACTAATAATATAATTTAAAAAAAAAATATAATTAAGTCATTGTTATTTTAAATAAGCAGACTCATTTATCTATCATCCACATTCAAAATAATTGTTCTCAACTCCAAGCAATTAGAGATAGCGCGGTAAAAACTTCTTTACTTCTTACCGCAACCATACAAGAAACCATTCATAAAATTTATAAATACATTTATATAAAGAGGTTTTCGAACAGAAGTGAAACAACAACAAAAATTTATTTTTTAAATTATTTTAATTAATTGAATTTTTGGCTGACCATACAGCTGTTTCGAGTATTGCCAAATAAATACCCTTAGTGGTCTTGGAAATAATTCTTATATTTAATTATTCGTAAATAATTATTTTTGAGACTGCAAGTACCAGGAATCGAATTCGGGTCCTGCCAAATATGAAGCTCAGAATCAGCGCACCTTAACCAACTGATCCAAACCCGTACTGGACTTTTTATGTTCGCATATTTTGCTGGAGTTTTGTTACTTTTGCTATGAAAGTTTTTATTAACAATTTTACTTGCTGTATTTATATATTAGAACGAAATTATAAACCAGCTGTAGAATAATTGAATTAATTAATTAATTATAATTTTATTTTCAATTGTTAAATTTCAAAACTATTCTATTCCTATAGGCATTATTTGTTGCATGATTTGTTCTTTCTTATGTATAGAACCTAATCTAGGAACGTAATGCTGAGAAAGCCATGCTAATGTTACTCCACTAGTCGCACGAGCGAGAACCAATATTTATTTTGGAGAACCATATTTTTGTGAATAAGTTGTAATTTAACGTCAAATTTTCCAGACGGAAGTGACTATTATAATTTTAATAGAAACTTGTTATATTTACATAAAGAGGTTTTCGAACAGAAGTGAAACAAC